TACCCATACTTAAACTCTTCTTATCAATCCTTAGTTTTACTCAAACATTTGAATCCTCACTTCCTTCACTCTATCACTTTACTATAATCACAGTATACAACTGTATCCTGATTCACTTCATATTTGGTTATTATAACCTACCATATCTTGAAATCTTGTAATTTCAATGCATTCCGTTCCATAATCTTGTTAGTCAACGCTAACTCTTTCCATCTTAAATAAAAAAAATAGTATCTACCTCACTTGATACATGATTCATTCGATATTATTAAAGATGATATGAATTCATACCATATGCATTATGGGATATACTATGCAGATTGTGGTAAGTCTATTTTCCAGATTAGAGCTTATATATGAATGTATGTGTCATATGGGATTGAATGAGTTACGAGATATCTATATTAGGTATATGAAGTGTGTGTGATGTGTTTTTTATGGTTTATATGTATGAATGAGCATATGTATTGACATGTTACAGTATATATATATATATTATATGAGTTATGTAAATATGTAGATAAATGTGTTAAATATGTGAAATAGTTAAAATGATCAATATGATTTCATAAGAATATGAAATAAGAAGTATGGAAAGGACATAAGAAAGAATATGAAATATATAACATATGAATATGAAATCATATGAGATGTGACATGAATTATATGAAAAATATACTATATGATTACAAATATATGAAAATATGCTAGTGTAATGGGACCTAGGAACTAGTACACGTGATATATATACATTTATATAAGTTATTGGATGAAAAATGAACAAGAGATAAAAGAGATGAAGGATAATACTATAGGAGTATAATAAAAACATAAATGATGACATGTATGTATATATGTATGTAATGGTTATATGAAAAGGTATAGGTGATAAGATGATCATATGAACATGTGATAAAGAGCTATAGGAAAAGAAAAATGTGATATGATGTGTGAATATGTAATAAGGTAAAAGACAATGCCCATGATATGAGTTATGAGAACTGTAGGTATAGTTGGCATGCCAAGAGTCAAAGAACTACCTATGTCTTTCGAGACATATGGACAGTATACCTATGTTCTAAGAAACATATGAATAGTTTACCTAGGTTCTTCGGGACCTATGGACAGTTACCGAGGATCTTTATGACCTCTGGATAGTTACCGAGGATCTTTATGACCTCTGGATAGGTCCTTCGCAACATTCATTGAGCTGTGGTGACAACATACGTGTGCACAACCTCATAATACTCTTATACCTTGGGTTCTTAACAGTGTATATGGGCTTAAATAGGACATAACGAGGATGTATATAATTGTATCTTAATATGGTATTATTATGATTTATATTGTCTCATATGTGGTATAATAAATGATGGTATGATAGTATAATTGCGTTTGGATAGTAGACGACATGTTTATATTTTTAGTAATTCTTTTTTATGCAATTATGCCTCACTAAGTCTATGACTTAGCGTGTAAGTGTTTTTACACACAGGTTTCGAAGAGCATGAGAATCAAGAATAGGAATTTGCAGATCAACATATCTCCACTCATCGATCAAATCAGAAGGAAAGTCATAGTAGGTATTTTGTTGTATGTAGTGTGTTGGCATGTAAGAAAAGTGTTAGTTACAAATGCTCTGATTAGTTTTGTCTTGTTTTGGTTAACTCGTGTACAATGATAATGTTATTTTAATAAAAGTTTTAAATTTTATTGGTTTTCGTTAAAAGTTTAAAGTTTGAAAAGTCAATGTGACACCTGAGACTTGTATCCGGGTCGGATACGGGTTGAGGGTGTTACAATCCCATCATCATTTTTTGAAGACAAACGATTTGTTAAAATATATTGACCATCATTACTAGTTTTAACATCATAATAGGAGTATTTGAATATTCAGTATCCTTCAAAACTACAGTTTTATTGGATATATCTCCTACTAAAGGGTTGTCGACCACTACCTCTGTACTTGTATTCTCCAAAATTTGACCAGATTCGATCGGCGATAATGGACTCAATTTATTATTTTCAATGGGAACCACACATTCGACCTCCTTGTTAACTTGTGCACCATCAACAACATGTGAGAAACCTTCCACCAAATTTGGTCGGTTACCACGATCAACCATAAGAGCAACTGGACAAGTCAATGGAGCTGATTCCATAACAAAAATATATTCAACACCCTTTTTCACACTAGTAGGCCGAGTAGTTTGGAATGAATATTTGATTTATAGGTTGTTTTCTAAGGAAGATACTATGCAGATTCTTTCAGTTCCTATTACACATTGTGCTGAAGATGTGTGGGCTAACCATGATTTGGGTATCTACTCAGTTAGATCTGGTTATTGGCGGTTACAGAAACGACATCATGATAATGAGAGAAAGTTTAAATTGTGGTCAGTTATGGCTAAATTGAAAATTCTTCCTAAGATACCTGTGTTTGCTTGGCGGGTTGCCCAGAATGTATTACATGTGGGTAGTCGGCTTAAAAGTGTTGGTTTTGGTGATAGAATTTGTCCTATGTGTTGTAATGGGGAGGAGACGATTATACATGTCATGAGGGACTGTCCTGTAACTTTTGAGACTTTATGTCTAGCAGATCTGCCTCATTCTATATTTTTAAGTATTATGGATAGTCCTTTATTATGGATGGAGGAAGTATTCTCTATTCTAGGAATTGATGCTTTTGCTGGTTTTTTGATAATTCTGTGGAATGTCTGGAATAATCGAAACTCCTTTGTTAATTATGACAGGTTACAATCGGCGTGGCTCTTGGTGACTAATGCAAAGATTCTACATCAGGACTATTTAAGGGCTATTAGTGTGGGGATGAATAAACAACGGTCTACAAATATTGCTATATGATGAACTCCACCTTTGGAGGGAGTTATCAAAGTGAATGTTGATGGTGCCTTTGTTGCAGAGCGCCGATTGTATGCAATTGGAGTTGTTGCTCGTGATAAGTGTGGACAAGTTTGTGGTGGTTTGGCCCAGTCTTCTGTTGGATGTTTTGAGGCGGGTTTTGCGGAACTATCTGCTTTACTCGCTGGTCTTAGAATGGCTTGTGATATGAGATGGTCTGATGTTCAGTTTGAAACTGATTCCTTGATGCTCGTCCATAAGATTACACGAACTTCTACAGATATTTTTACCCTCGGGGTGTATGTTCAAGAGGCTCGTACTATTTTTCAGGATCACTCTCGTTTTTGTATTTTGTATACTCCTAGAGAGTGTAATCAGGTTGCTCATGCATTAGCCAGTTGGGCTTTAAATTCGAGTGGTTCTTTGTTTTTTGAGTCGGTTTGTCCCGACATCATTGTTCAGAATGTTAAAAACGATGTCATTGATCTTTGATTAATATATTTGGGCATTATTTTCCCCTTACTAGGTTTAGAAGGAGTTTTTAATGGGACTCATGAGTTTCATTCAAAATAATAATAATAATAAGTTGATACTCGAAAAAATATGATTTAATGCTTAAAATACCTTTTTCTCCAACAATAAGTGTTTAATAATGTTAACATTACACTTTTAAGTGTTTGAACCGTAACGACCGTTAAATTTGACTGTCAGCATATAAAATTAAAAAAAAATTATTTTAAAAAACTTAATATTATAATTAAAAAAAATCAAAACCCCCTAAATTTCACCTCTTCCATCGTCAATCGGCCACCTTCGGTCCATGGGTCATCACTATTGACACCATAAAAATTGTCTCACTATCACAACCAAAACTTAGTCCCTCACCCACCGTAAAACTGCGCCAACCATATCATAAAAATACCGCAAAGGTCGTCGGATTTATAGGTTTTTCGTTGTTGTTTTCTTGCAATCTTAACGGCTACAGTCATCTGTACGTTACACAGTCGGACCTGTTGAGTTCTTCATCCTACTCCGAACAAAATCCAACCGGTGGTGACCTCTCGCTTTCGGTGGTGGGGGATAGGAAGAAGAGGGACGACGAAGGGGTTTAATTTTTTTCCTTTTTGAAAAAATAATATTTTTATTATTGATAAAAATTTAAAAAATATAGCAGTATGTATCTAAAAGTTAAAAAAAAATAATGGTAGGTAACTAAAAGTGTAACCGAGAAAATATATTATACACATATTATTAACATAAAAATTCTTTAAACATCAAATCATATTTTAAAATATACTTTAGATACTAAAAAATATATTTAGTCTGAAAAGATATAAAATTAAATAAAATTAAATATTTATATAATCATTTCTTCTTTTCTTTTTAAACCAAAGGCAATCATTTTTCCCTTTTTTTCGTTTTGTTTCACATGCGATGATATCAAACCGTCTAGATTCTTTATTTTTCATTTAGTTTTTTATATTACACATTTGTTTTTTAAATTTTTAATAATTTTATATTTGTGACACATTTTTTTATTTTTATGACACATTTTCTTTTTTTTATTAGTCATTTGCTTATTCTTTGCATTTAATTTTTAGAGTTAGATTTAATGTCGATTCGACTAATTAAGATGACACTTATTTATTATTTTGTTGATATTCCTTGCTTTGGACCATCAGATTGGACTTGAATACGCAATTTGTGTTCGAAGATAATTTTCTCACGATGCTCGATTCTGATTTGAGATTGTCGATGATATTTCAATAGTTTAATACCCTATTGTAGTTCGTTTACGGGTACAATCAAATTTGTTTATGTCTTTTGTTTCAATTTTTTCATGTGATTTAATATTTTCCTTTTATGATCATTGCATGATCTCAAGTGGCTAATTTATCGTGTCAATGTTTATAAAAAATATTTTAATTATGTTTTTAGTTTATAAACTTTATTATAATTGTAAATATTTTTTTCTTTCTAATAAAACTAATAAATTTTATTTGTATAAAAATATTATATTTTTAAATAACAAAAATTAAGCAATATAAATATCGTTTTAAATTATATATGAAAATATTTAAAGATTATGTTTTGCAGGAAGATTCTGCCAGGTGCGATGATAATTGAGAGGTGGTTGGGTTTGGGCGAACTAGCTGGGCTCAGTTCTGGTTAATTCGTGGTCTACCCATTATCTATACTCGAGTTATGGCATTGGTGAAGACTCTGATTCCAGGTTCCATCTTCTTAGCTGAGTGCTGTCACGCTCAACTGCGCTCCTTCGCTGTCCCGTCTTCCCCGTACAGTAGAAGACAATTCAAAGCTTCTGCAACAAAAATGGCGTCCACTGAAGCCCAAGGCAGAGGCAAGACCATCGATTCACATTTGCACGTATGGGCATCCCCTCAAGAGGTAATCGAACCCCTCCATGCACCAAAGTTTCTCGGTTAACCAAATTTAGAGGATGGATTAACAGCAACTGAGGACGCCTTTCCCTTTTCCTCCTTTTGTGTTTGTGTGTACAGGCTGCTGATAAATATCCTTACTTTCCTGGCCAAGAATCTACTTTGCCTGGACATTTGGATTTCTTGTTCCAGGTAAGATGACTATCCTTTTGCTTATTTATTCTCTGTGTCCTTGATTTTTTTCTCTGTCTCTCCCTGCAGTGTATGGAAGAAGCAAGTGTTGATGGTGCGCTCATCGTCCAGCCAATCAATCACAAGTTTGATCATTCATTGGTGACCAGGTCTGTTTCGAATTTTACGATTAATTACTAACATTTACCGATTTCTGGTAATTTGTTTAATTGTTTTCTTCTCATTTTGTGAATTAAGCTATAAAGTCATGTGAAAGCATTGGTGTGAAGTGGATATAGACATAGTTACATACCACAGAAAATTCTTTCAGATAGATAGGTGAAGCAAATGATTGGGAATTTTTAGCATTTTATTACACTTTTAGCTGAATTTCTTCCAGGAACCGGTCCTTAGATCATAATAGAATGAATGAATGGTCCAGTTGTCACCTAAGGTTCATGTGCTTGTCGATGTTCTTGTACTATCAGTTGCTTGTACAAACCAGGAAAGCGTTCCATGCCTAATATCAGTTTTATGGATGATTGATAGTGTCCTAAAGAAGCACCCTACAAAATTTGTCGGTTGTTGCCTTGCGAATCCTGCAGAAAATGGAACTGGGGTTAAGCAGCTTGAAGATCTCATTTTGAAGGTTTTTGATTTATTTTGTTTTATTAGATAACTCTTTTTTTGTTATGTCTTCTTGGGAAAACCATTCTTAGGATCTGATTTTTTATGCTAGGATGGTTATCGAGCTGTTCGCTTTAATCCTTATTTATGGCCTTCCGGTCAACAGGTATCAATTTCAAAACCTTTTTAAGCTGTTAGGCTGCAATTTGTCTTCTATTTGGTTAATTAAAATCTATGAAGTGTTCACTAAAAACTCAACCCATATGTTTGGTTTTAATTGAAGTAACTGTTCTGTCTGTAAAATAAAAGTCAGGATGTCTTGTTTAACCGAGAAACAGAACATTTTCTGGATTAACTGAGAATGTTACATAAAATCTCTTCTTAAAGTATTTAGTAAGAATATTGGGAAAGGATAACCTCTAATATATGTTCAGTGGTAGAGAGACTTCAAGGGGAAATTGGCCATGTGAAGTATGAACTAAATATTTATCATATAATAGACTTGTAAACTTCAGCTACGAATCATATATTCTTACAAAGCGGTTGGTTTTTACTTGATTTTTCTTTGATATGAATCATATATTCCTTATATTTCGCTTCACAATACCCAGATGACAAATGAAGTTGGGAAGGCAATGTTTTCAAGGGCAGGAGAGCTTGGAGTGCCAGTGGGTTTCATGTGCATGAAGGTATTTCAGTTCCCTAGACTATCTTTAATCAACTCAAAAGGAAATGAAGAAGCTGTTGTAATACAATTTGATTTCCATAATCTATTTTATTCCAGTGACATAGTGCTATTCTGAATCTGAATCTATATTTGGTTGATAAGGGTTACACCGTCTTCACTTTTTCAGGGTCTCAATCTTCATATTTCAGAGATTACGGAACTATGCACAGAATTTCCTTCAACAGCCGTTTTGCTTGATCATATGGCTTTCTGCAGACCACCAACGTAACATTTGTAACTAGTCTTTCTAGGGAGAAATATTTCAATCTTTTGCTAGGTAAAGACAATGTTTAATATTTAATATTCATTTCCTTGCAGAAATGACGAGGAAAAGCTTGCCTTTTCTGAGCTCTTAAAGCTGTCTAGATTCCATCAGGTATAAAGAGTTATACGTAATCACTAATCTTTATCAGTTCACAATGATATTCTTTTTCCTTCTATTTTAGCAATTCCACCATCATCATGATGCAACGGCTATTGGACTATTGCAAAGATTTTTTTAGTACACTGGTGGAGAGCATCAAATTTCCTCAATTTCCTCAATTTGGCTATACCCAAGGCCTTTTAGAATATCAGCAAAACTAAGTCAGGTTATATTAAAAGAAATATGCTCCAGTTTAGCTCCGCTGAGCTATTCTTCTTAACTTAAATCTATTACAAGTCTTTTTTAATCATCTATACATGTATTTGGCTGGTGAATGCCATTGTTTTTGGTATTTGATGTTTCTAGGAGTTGACCAATGTTCACTACAACTAAAAGCCTTACACTCTACCCATAGATCATAAGGTTGTTAGTGACCCTAATTTGAAGTAAGATTCATCGCGAGTTTATGCAGATTTAATTTTAATTGTACAGGTATATGTAAAATTCAGTGCTTTGTTCAGGGTTTCAAGAATGTCACCCCCATATGAGGATTTAGTTCCACTTCTAGCTGAAGTTGTCTCAAACTTCGGAGCAAACCGTGTCATGTGGGGAAGGTAAATATCTGTCTAGCATCATTTTTTTTTGCTTCTTTGTTCATTGGAGTTTCAACACAATGTTTACACATTCAAAGGGTTCATGTTTGACACACACACACACACACTAGCAGTGGTGTTTTATAACTCTGCAACGGTTGTCTGGCTGGAGTGGGGTATAGATAATGGAGGTTTTGAATGTACGATTGCAGCGATTTCCCATTTGTTGTTCCGGAAAGCGGCTACAAAGGAGGGAAAGAAGCAGCGAGTCATATCGCCAGTCGGGCATCTTTGTCATCTTCTGAGGTAGAATGGATCATGGGGAAGACAGTAATGCAACTGTTTCAAGGTCAATGGCTTCCTTAGGCAGGCAAGCAGCAGCCTTTGCTCATCTCTAGTAACGAGTCTTTTCTTTGCTTGACTAGTTAACCGGTTCATCTGACGTTCAATTAATCTATTATATGTTTAAGTCACTGAAATAAGTGAATGCAATCCAATTCAGCTGTAACTATAAAAAAGATTAGCCTACGTTCAAGCATAAATGCCCGTAGAGCTTCAGGATCAAATATGTCCTCTCCACTTTCTTATCTTTTGATGTCTCTCAAAATTTATGTTTGGTTCCAAAATTTCTCAAATATTGCAATCAAAATAAATCTTTTAATGCACTAAGATACATAAGCAATGGTATTTTTTTTGTGGTAGTAGGGTAATTTCTCATTTTGAAAGAAAGGTTAATGGAAACATATGATGGAATGGAAAGAAATGAAGAAGTCTATATTAAGGTAAATATGCATTTTGATACACAAATTCTCTTGGAATATTTTTTTTTTTCATTTTGAGGTAGATATAATATAATTTTTCTCTGCTGCCTTTAGTTTTTCTTAAAATAATTCTTTATATAACATGTGTGTTCGTTTCTCTTTTTATTGTCTTGTAAACGGCTACTATTATCTGTAACATATACGAATTTAAATTTTGTAATTAATCATTGGTAATTTGTACACCAGCTACCCCAGGGCATGACACCTTCCATGACATCTCAGTTTTGCATGATTCAAATCCCATGATCACATGTCCACAACAATCAAACATCTTAGGATACAGAGTAAAGCATATCCAAGCCTTTTGCCTTTTACTCGAATGTTATCCTTCATCGTACGTTCAAACAGGATCAGCTTGGTAAAATCCCTTATGTGCTTGTCAAAGAGTACTTTTTCCTCCATCTGGTTCTTCCTCGAACTATCTCTTCTTTCCGTGTCTTCCCTTTGGTTTGGAGGAGATGAGTATATCCGTGCATCGTCGTCTCCAAGGGGCCTAAGTATCCATTTCCTTCCACGATTCCAGAAGTCAAAACCATGTTTTTAAGTAGGCTTTGTTCCACTCCATTTGTTAGGATTTCATCTTCATCTGGTTGGCAAAGTGATTCAACTCTATCTGAACTCCCACATTCCCTTCTATATTCTAATACCATACCAGATAGCTGATGAGAGTCCAAGAATTTGTCAGGGATTGTCTGCATAAAAAAGGAAACTAATGATGATTTAAGGTCGACATCGCATTCGAGTGAGTTATATCGATCGATGGCGTATCGTTTTTCGTTTACCTCGAGCATCCATCTTACATACTTGACATTGTTCACATGGTGGTTCATGTCCAAATCACTCCTCCTTGGCTACAAGGTAAATTGGAGATTATTTAGCCTGTTCTGTTTCAGCCACGTTATTTAGCTTTCGAAACCTTCAAGTCGGAGTTGATGTATTTCGCGCTATCGTCCAACTTGACGATCTTTTCGGGAACGTCTTCGGTGATAGCTTGTTTTTCTATAAACCAAGGAGATATCTCATCTCTAACTTCATCCGGCATCTTTGACAGTCGCCTCATTTTCTCGTTCATCATGACCCAATTGCTGTTTCATGCAGTTTTATGATGTTCCTTGGGGGAAATTAAGGATGAGTATGCTAAAGAGGTATTCATAATATCATACCTAGTTGCACGTGCATAAGTGATGCCTGTGGCTTGACTTCGAACTAGCCAGTCTCGCCGCATCCCGTTCTTCCCCGATGCTCCGACCAATGTATCGAATTCCAATACCTCACCCCTGCAATTCTACTTAGCAGCTACTTAGATCATTAAGATGAGTCTATTTAGAGATGCAATGCAGCAAGACTGACCATATTGGATAGTGATCCACTTGAACGTGCATTCTTGAGACCACCCATATGAGGCTGTTCCTCATCATTCCATGTGTGGCTCCAAATCCATTGCTTAGAAGTCCAGACATCCATACATGACTTAATGCTGTTTCCTACAGACATGAACATTTCTCAATGTTACAAAGTTATCTTTACACACACACACACGTATATGTATGTATGTATGATAAACTTTAATGTTCTCAATCTATAATCACCTGGAAAAGATTAAGCAGGCTCTCCAAGGTAACAGTTTTGTAAGGGCCAACTTCGTATGACCGGACAACGACCATCTGTCTATAGCCGACTCCCCTTTCTATGATGAGACATTGACGGTAAGGATCGACCAGCTGCTTCTTCGTCGGGATCCTCTGCCGAATCTGCTCTTCAGTTACGTGCAGGTTTTCGGTGGTGGTTGCAAGAGGAGAGGAACCTTCTCTGGCTCCAGTGATTTCGTTCAATGGATGTAGCCTTGTAGAACTACTTGCGTTGATTTTGATATCGACTCTGCCGTGATATCGATTGCCATTACGAGAATATCTAAAGGGAAAAGAGACTGAGCAGGAGAAAGCAGCTGCTGCCATTGCTTTCTCTGGTCTAGTCTAGGTCTGGAAAGTTTGAAACAGAGTAAGTACATTGGAATTTTTTATAGAGATTTCATGGCGGACCTGTCCAAGGCAAGGTCCCTGTAGAGGACAATAACGAGGGAGCTTCGTTATAGTGATTTTCATTACAACAGAAATTAAATAAGCGATGCATCCTAGGATGGATCGATGGAGGACAAATAGGAGAAAATTGTTGATTTGTTGTCCGGTACGCTTCTAGTTTGTTACGAGGGAGCAAGTAATTCCAAGCGACACTATTAAGCCATTGTTGGTAAGTAGACAATAAACAAACAAGCCATGGGAAGTTTTGTTTATGAGACCAAGATACTCATTCTCAACCGTTACCATGTCTTTTATAATTTATGATGAGTATTCAATTAAGTCGAGTCGAATTAAGCGGGGAAAAACTAAAGTTAGTCAAGTTCATGAGCTATATTTTGTCCTTCAAATTTTATTTAATTTTTCGACTAGAAAAATTGAATATATTTGTTCGAATTTCTATTCAAATTTAATTATAATTAGTTATAATACTATAATATTGATTGGTTTCAATTTAAATGACTTTATAACCAGGTATATATATATATATATATATTCTTTTTCGCATATACAAGATTTGTAATGTTATTTAATATATCAAATACCATCTAAAATTATATAATTTATTTATGATATTATTTTGTAAAGATTAGATTTTTAGATAAAATATTGATGAGGAGCAACTGGACTTTGGGCAATTAATCCAAGTACTGTTACCCATTAAAAGGATTAACAGCTAAAGAAAGTTAACAGAACTGAAAATTCTGATCGATTATAAATTGGAAGTAAAAAGGATTGCTCTGAATTACATTCGTTTCCACTCTAAATAAGGCTTTAGGTTTGAGAGTAACTGATCTCCAGGCCCTGATACAACCTGAGCTATTCAAAATCTTTGGACAGTAGATGAAGATCCCATTGCAACAAAGGAGTGGCAACTGGAAAATCCCATTGTGCAACAGTCTATCAAAGAGGAGCCAACAATTCACAAATTTTGACAACCAGAGGAACCGAGCCTACATGGCCTGTGTAGTGGATGTGGTTTGTCTTTCTGTATCACAAATCACAATGGCTTTGCTCCCTAAACTAACAACATGGAAAGTAATAACAGCAACCCAACCCAAGTATCAACATTATTATAACATCGGAGACCGGGGTACAGATTTTCAACAGCTTCTACCATCCAGAAGGTTCCATTCTTGACAGTGATAGTATACTAGATAAATATAGTTGAAGAATCAGACCGTAGACCGACATCTCTATAACTTAAAGGGCAAACAGAAAAGGCACCCAAGCATGTGTTCTAATCAAAAAGCAACTCAGCCCCCCAAAAAACTCAGTCCCTTTTAGGAACTGGATCCTGTAATAGATGGCAAGAAATATGGATAGCCAAAATATACCAAATTTAAAACAGGACAGGGCAAACAGACTACTAGTATGGAAGAATCTAGTGGAATCAGAACCAATAACCCCCAAATTCTTGTGGAAAATACACTAAAACCCAAACCAATTTATTTCCATGCAACCTATTAACAGAAACTCATCAGATGCCATGGTTTCCTATAATACTATTGTAAAAAGGTAACTCCATTTAAAACTCCAACCAATTTATTTCTTGGTACGTTTGCTCCTCAACTTGCCCTGCTCATCCCACCTTTAACTATGATGTGAGTCAAAATATAAAAGCTAGTTAGAAACCTCTTATTAATGATTTACAACCAATTGAAAATTTGGGGGGAAAAGAGGGACTATCAAAATTTGACAATAGCCATTACAATATTACAAAAAGAGCCCTCACCCCATGTCCAATCACACCTTTCTCATTTCTCAAAAATATTAAAAGAATGAAAATACATTTTATCAGAAATTTTATTTGAAACAACTTGACACAGTACTAAATTCATCTGTATACCTGTTGTTGACTTAGTGTGTAATATTAGCTCCAAGTACTGGCCCAAGAAGACAACAAGGAGATCTGTATACTCAGCTGACTGACAAGATGTGGGTCTGCTACAAAATCAACCTATAAACAGGATAAGTAAAATTGTTAAATTAATAATAACTCAGCAATTATACATGAAGCATATCATACTCTGTAAACTCTCCCGCACAAAAAAAAAAAAACTACTATTAATAATGAGAGAGAAGCATGTGAAGCTTACTCGCCCAATGGTATTTAGATAATGATCCTTGGAGTAGCTTTAAATTGAATGCGACAATTCTCCAAAATCAAGTATGCATCGATCTCACCATCTACATGGGAAATCTAGAACCCTCTTAAAGGCTATATCAAGTCTCAACGCTGTCAGCTTCTTTACATTCTAGAATTAAAGTCTCTAGGTGACGAACTGCATGCAATTTACAGTTCTTGTCAACTTGCTTCAAGAGTACATTGTGTGTACAAGAGTCGGGCAGAATTTTTCTATCTAGCATTTCTTGGTACAACCTAAAGGACTCTTGCCAATTTCCAATGTCACAGTTCTCGTTTATTAGTATGGTGTAGCTATACTTATTAGGAAGTATTCCTTTCGCTTCCATCTCAGCAAAAAACTTGTAAGCTTGACCTATTCTCCTCACTTTGCAAAGGCCGTTTATCATAGCATTGTAGGTTATAACATTTGGCAGAACACCTTTCTCCTGCATCTCTGAGAAATACATAAATGCCAATGCTAAAAAACCCTTAGCAGCATGTCCATGAATTAAGACTGTGTAAGTTACCACTGATGGGGATAAGCCCTTGCTCAGCATCTCGTGGAACATTTCTCTAGCTTTCCTCAGTTGCCCACTTTCTAGGTAAGCATGAATGATGGTAGTGTATGTTACATGATCTGGAAGAAGACCAACGCTAATCATCTTGTGCAAAAAATTACAGGCTTCTTTGAGATCACCCAATTTGCAATGCCAATGCACAAAAACGTTATAGCTAATTACATCAGGTGGTAATTCCTTTGCGACCATTTGTTCTTCTATACTAAATGCTCTTGCAGGATCACCAAGCTTCAATTCACCTACTATTTGAGTTGTATAAGCAAATCGATCAGGCTCCAAACCATTATGCAACATCTCATTGAAAAGATCCCTCGCCGCAGATAGATTGCCAAGATTGTAGGATCCATTTACCAAGATTGTATAGGTTAAAACATCAGGGAAAATTCCCTGACCAATCATGGTATCCTTGAGATACCGAGCAAGGTCCAGGTACCCTGCTCTACATAGACCATCAATGAGAGTATTATACGTAACAACAGTAGGAACAAGGCCTCGAAATCTTAACTCATTGAACAAGTGAAAAGCCTCCCAAATGTTTCCTATCCTGCAATACCCATACATTAGAGTATTATATGAAATGACATCTGGTATCATATTCCTCTTCAGCATGTCATTGAACTGCTGTCTGGCATCGTCCATTCTTCCCCACCTGCATAGGCCATACATGAATGTATTATATGTTGCCACTGTATGATCAACTCCTTTATTTACCATCTCTTCCCTAAGGCTTAAGGCCTCAACAACCAACCCTTTCTTAAAATACCCACAAATCAAAGGATTATAGGTGTATGCAGAAACTTTCAGTCCCAATTTCAACATCTCCCTAATAAGTCCCTCAGCTTGCTCTAATTTGTAGTTCTTTGTTAAACCATTAATTAAAACATTATAAGTCACCTCATTTGGAAAACACCGTTCCATCAGCATTTCTGATAAGAGCTCAATCGCTTTTTGCACGTCTCCTTCCTTGCAAAAGGAATTCAGCATGGTATTATAAGTAACAATAGTTGGCTTAATCCCAAATTCCTTCATCATCCTATACACATCGCTTGCTTTAGCTACAAGAGATTTGTCCCTAAGCATAGCAAGAACCCTATTACAGTTCTTCACATCCGGCAGCAACCCATTTCTAACCATCTTATTAAATACCCACAAACAACGATCAACCATAAATTTATTGGAATAAATCATCAATAAAAGATCAAGCAACTTAACCGTAACCTCAAGTTTCAAGTACCCACAAATCAAGACATCAGCAATACTATGCATATCAAACGCGATGACCCTTTCCATGACCCAATAAGCTGATCTCATCGAATTATTCTCAACCAAAATATCAAGCATAACGGAGAAGACAAGCTCAGATCTTTTAACACCAGGTTGCATCTCGACCCACCTAAAGAACCTCAAAGCAATATCGGGTCTTTCTCTCATCGAATTAAGAACTTTGATAAACAAATGGGGATCGACAATGATGGAATGGAAGTGATTGGAAACCCAGTTGGTGTTGCAAAATGCCCAGGGCTTTTCATCAATGGTGTTGAAGACGAGTTGTTTGTAATGGGTTTCGGAGGAGGAGTCGGGTTCAAGGGGAGAGATGGGGGCTGGGGAAGGGAAGCTGTGGAGAAGAGAGAAAGAGGAAGGGAACTTGCAAGAGAGAGAGAGAGGGGCGATGGAGGCCAGAGATTTTGAAGCTCTTTTTATGCAAAGGGTCATCGAGGATTCATAAGGTGATTGTTGTAACCACAACACTACCGATCCTTCTTTCAATCTGAGGAGATGTTAACGGCAACGGAAGTAAAGGAGACCGAAAGGGAAAATGGGTTTTGAAAAATTGCCATTGGCGGCGTAGCCTACCTTCTCACCTCTCACTGGGTTTGGTGGCTAATCTCAGGCCGCACCCCAATTGTTTCTTTTTTTTTTTTGCTTATTTTATTTTATGTTAGAGATTACTAAACATTAATATTTTATTAGGTTTGTTCTAAGGTTTTATTGAATTCAAATTTTATTTTTAAGAAAAATAGATAAAAATATTTATAATTTAGATGAAATATTTTATTAAACTGATCTAAATTGAATTAAACTTAAATTATTTGCACTAATTTTAGTTATTTTTTTTTCTTAAAATTTTGAACAACATTTGTAGTCGATTAATACCATCGTTAGCCCCTTATTTCTCACTCTGAAACCTATTCTGCACATGAAATTTTATTATGTGGTTAAATTAATTACAATTCATGTCATTTAATTGTTTTACTTTATCCAAAAACAATTTATTCGATCAGTACTTTCTATTACTGTATTAATAGTACATATCTCACAGTAATAAAATTTCTGTGTTCCAAAATAATTCTCTCATTAATTCCGCTGCCTCACATGGTTCCATTCTCTGTCATTGATGAGCTTCCATGGAATAGCCTTTCCCTTGCTTTACTTGCCTGCAGTTGAAGACGACTAACCTTTGTCATGAACATAACTAATCAAGCTAATTTGTGGTATTATGAAAGATTTCTGAGAATGGATGACAGACCTGTTTTTCCCAATTTATGCAACTTGTAACAATGGCCAGCAGAACTGTTTGGGTGAAAGCGCCGGACTGGATACCGAGCCACAGGCCGATCCCTTTCAACTGTAACCAGAAGCCGAGGGTGGCGGCGACAGGGATGCCGACTAGGTAAAATGCTCCCAGGTTGACATAAGCTCCTATATGCTGCCAACCGCATCCCCTTGCAATACCTGTGATCCAAGAATGCAAACATTTGTAATACCAACACTGTAACATTCATCTCATTGGAAGTAAATTAATTGTTCACCGAAAAGATAACGGGTTTAACCTGAAAGAACACCCTGTAAGCTGTCGAGAATAACAGACACACAAACCAGGGGAGCCATGGTTGTCACATAATCCACCACTTCCTTCTCGTTGCTATAAACATAACCGAATACACGTCGGCTTGCAAACAGGGTTCCAGAAACTATAAGGGTCTCTAAAACCGTAAGAGCCATAGTAGCATATACCGCTACACGTGCTGCTTGGGGTTTCCCTGCCCCTAGTTCATTGGAAACTCTAGTACTACATATACACACCGAAAATGATTCTAAGTTCAATTGCATGAAAAAGTTGAAATTTAATCAGTAAAGAAATACAAAACAAGTATGTGCATGCATGCATATCAGGGCATACCTTGCTGCTGCACCAAATCCATATGGTATGGAATAAAGTGTTGCAAGGGTGTTGAGACTGATTGGGAAAGTTGAAAAGCTTATTAGTAGAATAATTACAATATGATGCAATAGAAAAATCATATAATTACAATACCAGATGCATTGATCCAAAACGATAGCAAATGAACATACCACACTGATAGGACGGATGTTTCCAGCTCTGGATGTGGTAAAAGCCCAGACAGCAGGATAAGTAGCTCAAATGACCACCATTCAAGGCTGCAATTGTTTGAATAAAGACGACATTACAGATCTTCAACTGATTAGGCATATATGAGGAGAAGAGATAACGTACCAAATCATAACAGCAGAAGGGATAGCGAAACGGAAAAACTCTCTAATTCCTTGGAATAATTCCGTCGTAATGGGGACACGAGTTTTTGCACAGGCAGGAGAGTACCACATATAAAGTGCAAGGAAAATCGCATTTAACCAGTTTGAGATACTAATTGCTAATGCTCCTCCTATATTTTCTAATCCAAACTTGAACACCAGAGCCCAACATAGAGGTATATGTACTAGAAGACTGGCACAAGAGCATATGAGCATGGGAGTGATCAAACTTTGTGTTTGAAAATAGCGAACAAGGGGTTGAAAAGTAGCATAGGCAAATAGCGCCGGGATAAGCCACCGAATGAATTTGCCGGCTTCACGTGAAATTAAGGGATCTTGACCAATGAACACAAGTAACCTTCCCATGTATAGCCATAGGAGGGACAGAGGGATGCAAACTAAGATCAAACAAAATATAGCAGTGTAGGTATGGATTCCCACTTTTCGGTACTGTCGAGCTCCATAAGCTTGTCCGCACAGCGTTTCCAATGCACAGGCCATCCCTAGCTGATAATCACACGCAAATTACGAAACTTAGTTGGTTGATATTCTATAAGTTCAGATAGTAATAGTGGTGACAACTGACAATTCCAGTAATCCAAACTCGGTTCATCAGCTGGTCTAGGCTCAGCAGCTAACCAATCATTCAATTATTGTTCTTTCTTTAACTTGTTAAACAGGTAGTGATCGAATAACTACAGGTCAAAAGGCATAAAGGAATTTCTGTGAACACACATATTTGCTGCCCAATGGATTAACTGAACAGTAAAGAATTTTCAAGTCGACATAAGCACCAAAGGTCCAAAAAAAAAACTTATAAAATAAAAATGATGTTACTAGAAGTAAAGAGATCCAACCACAAAAAGACAAAATGTAAAGGGGAGACCTAATTGTCTAGTAGTAAAAGACTATAAACATACAAACAAAGAGACAAGATAATTTTCAACATCACTATTGGTATGACAATATGACAGGTTGACCAAGTAGAAGCAAAATGCAAATTGACTTACAAGAAGACTGAAGCCGGTGACCCCGGCGAGAGAGATGGCAATGGAAGAACTAGAGAGAGCAAGCTCACCGAGATGACCCACCATCATCGTCGATATAACTTGCAAGAGGTACTGAGATATGGTCACCGCCACCATAGGCCCCGCAAGATAACCCACCCTTTGTATTTCTCCGGCGAAAGCAGCCCATGAAAACCACGGGTTGTTCTTCTCCACCTCCTCTAATTTGGGTATTAAACTCTCTTCCATTATCTTCTGCTCCTGTGTGTCTACCCTCATGCTTTCGTCTCTCTAAGTTGCAATAGCCGCCCTTACTTGGGGATTTGGAGACACAATAGAAAGATGACATGGTTTGGCGTTTGTTTGGCTTTATTAGTTTAGAAATGACGTGTATCACGTGAAAGCGACATCCCTTTTTCGTGTAAACAAACAGACAAAACTGGGCGAGAAAACGCAAACTTTCTTTAAACAAGTGATAATCCACCTCCACCCAGTGGCGCCACAGGGATGACATATACATATAGTTTTATGGTAAAAGATTTTTCATTAAAATATTATTGATTTCGCCACTATTTTTGTTTTACAAAAAAGTTAAGGTTAGAGGTGAATCTTCCGTTTAAAGTCACGACATACCTTAAACTCAATTGAAATTTATAAAAAATTTATAAATAGTTCGTTAAGAATAACGGTAGTAAGATTCAAACTTGATTTTACAAACTTAAATTTCTGAATCTCAAATACAAAGATATCCTCTAAACTAATCTTAAACCTAAAAAAGTTTTAGGATTTATGATAAACCTTGTTTAGGTTTAGTCCAGAACATTTATCCACATCCGAACAATGCTCCAACACTTGCAGAAGTCTATGTTCATGGAAGGCATAGAAATGAGGTAAGTCGAGGTTTCCTTTGGTTGAAGTTAGGATTTGACCAAAATAGGTTGACGGAACATAACTTGGTAGACGTTGATCAGATGTTTCAAGTCATGGCCTAATGCTAGAAAGCCCTTGATTTATTGTACGCTAGTAAGTTCAACAGTTACACCAGTTGGATTTTGTTAGTCGAAGGACCAAATTGACATGGTTATTAAGTCCAAGGAATCAATTAGATGCATCTTTTGAAAAGGAACTAGGCTGATTTTTTTTTTAGAAATACCGGCTTTCTCTTTAAGCCTTCAGATTGGTTGCTCAATGTGAAAGCAGAGGCTGAAAGACTGCCCCAGAAGAACAATGTGAAGAGGCTCCAAATCTAGCACGAAACGGGAAGAACTATACAAGTTCGAATCTCATAACGGAAATGAATTGATAATGCATTTCTCATTGATTAATACATAGCACCAGCATCTTATCAAAATTATATACATAAAAATATTTGTATTCTAGCATCAAGAACTGTAGAACAATCAGCCAACTATCCTATTGTATGTACCATGATGCTAGGTATTAATTCTAATCCAGAACACAATCGACCACTTCAATCTAAGATCAGCACCATGATGATTGTAGTATAGGTCAATTCTAATCCACTTAGCCTTGATTAGTAAGCTGTCTGCAGTTCACAAGCAGAGAGAAAAGCTCCACCATGGGCATGCTTTTGCTAGTAAAGCATCAACATGACCACAACCAAACCGGAAAGTTCAAAATTGCGGTTGTCTTGGCTTTCCAGGCGGCAATGCAATTATTTTGTTTTCCGCAAAATAGGGCCAACATAACCATGCAAAAAGAATAAAATAGGGTTTGAACGCATTTGTTGGGATCATTGTTCCTCACAAAATCCTCAATAAGACACTGAACCGTTGTAGATGAGTGACCCCTCTTGCTTTTCTTCAGCAACATCGACATATAATTGATATAATCATGTCCCATCCAGGTATCACTCATCAGCCACTGCAAAGCCACAGCTGCAGCATCTTTTTCTGCACTCTTCTTGTTGTTGCAAAGCCGTCCAGTGATTTGCATACCATTGAACTCAACAGTAGCTTGGAACAGACTGTGTTTCAATTGATGTGTCCTGTAGGTAGGCGTGGCATATCCTGCCCTACTGACCAATGTTTGAAGCTGACTTTTAGAATTATCACTTCCGGGACCACACTCTGTCCTAGAAATCAGAGACTTCTGTGGTGGAATAACAGGCATATTTGATGGTTTAAGGTCCTGACGGCCAAATACAAATCTTCCATTACACTGATCCTCAGAAACCAGTAACCGTATGGCAGATATCAGCTCATGATGAATATGTAGGGCCATTTGGGGATTCAGTAACTGCCCAAAACTGAACTTATTAAAATCTAAGATCAAGAAATTAGACAGAGCTGATGGTTTTT